AGTTAGTACATGAAACTCGCGAATGACCGCTTCAAGCGCGAGCGAAATCAGAAGAGAGAGTCGAAGCACGTGACCACGCTTGTATTATGTGAAATTGTACAAGTGCCGTTTTTTTTAGCTTTTTGAATTTAAACAAAAAACAATTATGCAATTGATGAAATACGTAGTGTTATAATGGAAGTAAAATAAAGCTACAAAGCGGCACAATCCATCCGTCAATGTATGTATTCACGTCTGACCAAACTAATAGACGGCGGTAACATGGTAAGATGAGCGCCAAGCTCAGACTACGCGTTTTCGTTAAAAATCTCCCACTACAAAGCGGCACAATCCATCCGTCAATCCGTGTATTCACGTCTGACCAAACTAATAGACGGCGGTAACATGGTAAGATGAGCTCCAAGCTCAGACTACGCGTTTTCGTTACACAAAAATCTCCCACATCGGCTGGTTGGTGCTTGGAATAACCTTCTTCCGACGGTTGCTCACGCTTCTAGTACCGAGTTCATAGCACTTCAGGATGACTGTAATGCAAGCATACTGCCAAGCGTTGATAGCTTAAAAATAGTGCTTATGTCATTCTAGTGTTAGGGAAACGCTAGACGAAAAAAAAACGAATTCAACCCGGAAAGTTTCGGGGAAATCCCCAATGGTGTGTGTCAATTCCCAAATTGTGAATTGTGAGGCATGTAATGAGGGACTGACCTTGGCGCGCGGTTCGAATTTACTGTCGGTGGCGAGGCTCCGTTTTTTTGCACTGACGGTCATTTGAGAATCTTTGTGATTGTCATTGCCCGGGGGTTATGGACGATGGGTACTCATGCTTCAGTAGCCAATCTTGTGGGCTTGATCTCTGGTTTTAATAGATACCGGTAACAATGTACCGGAATATCCTTCGAACACCGAGTTGGCCGTGCTGATCGCGGCCTACCTGGGAGTCAGCACAAGCACACGAACAAGGCGGTTGCGGCCGAATAACCCACGTAAACCTCAACCAATCGAAAAGTTTCTGCAGTCTGCGATAACGAGTCTCCTAGAATAGCCACCCCAAGGAATACTCCATGGTGCCATCTAACGCACAGACAACTCATCTGGGCCTTACAGGGACACCTTTCCCGTTCAACCGCATCAGAAAACCCGAGAATCCAGACGTACGCATGTTCCAAGCAATATCTTGAACGACAAATCCAGTCGTCCAAAAAGGGATATTGCTCGAGGGAAAAACTGTCCTAAATTGGCAAAAGGTCCGCCCAAACTCGAACCTCAGCGGAGGAAATCCATCCTGCAAACGAACGGCAGTTTTCGGCAGGAACCAGACCAGTACGCTGAAGAGGCCCCGTGGAACACTTGAACTCACACTTCCGTGCACAGCCATTAAATTTGCTATCCTCTCTGATAACACATATTTCTGCTCCCCATCTTCCGACCTGGAAGAGCTGGTGTTAAAGTGCTTTTCCACAAACTGCCAAACTTCGTGGTATCAAAAAGTGGGCCTGCCTTGAACACTTGTCTGTACTCGCACTTAAAGTAACGTGGCTCACACCGGCCGTCTCTGATATGGAGATCTCGATGGGTGGCTACTATATTTTATGGGCTGACTGGAAACGTGTGGGAGCAGTTGGGGTTGCTCTATACTTACATGCGGCCTTGTCCATCCCGATTGTCCTCTCCGCCACCAATCCTGCACCCGTGTTTGCTGTACTGTGGATTCAACTCCCGCTGTGTGCGATCTCGGCCTGGTCCACTGTTGACCCTATAGTCCACCGTAACATGTCCAGTTCCTCATATAAACCCTTTAGCAATTCTTCCACCTATCATTTCACACGTCCATTGCTGGTATTGCTGGAAGCCGGATGGAGTTCCGGCACATTGGGTCTAGTGGACATTTCGCATCAGCTCTGACCAAAGTCAATCAACACAGTGCTTGGACTCAACATGTCGGCGCACTCACCAGATACCTCGCAGGCCAACTGCCATACCTACTGGACTTGGTTATCACCGACGAAAGACACTTCGTTAGGCAAATTTTAATAAAAAATCATTCACCTGTAACACCCTTTCGGTGTCTAGCTGCCATACCACTCGAAGGAAGCATCAAGGCTGAGATACTGTCAGTTTGCCCGAGCCTAGAAAGGTTTAGTCGAGAGGCAGATGTTGGGTTTGAACCACGGACCTTCCGGTCAATAAATTCGTGCTCTAACCACTTGAGCCACCTCCCGACCTAAAGCTGCCACCTTGACGTGGTGGTCGGGCTTGAGTGCTGCAATGATCCCGCGGGCTACACTGGCTGGAACTTCGTTCCACAAGGTGCAA